ATAATCATATACATTGTATATTGACAAAATAAAAATTTAATGAAAAAAAAAATAAAATAAATATATAAAAGACAACAACAACAACAACAAAAAAGAAATACCACATGTTCTCACTTATTGGTGGGAGCTAAAAATAAATATGTAAATTCACTCAGACACAAAAAATAACCGGGTGGGGGGGGAGAAGATATAACAACTACAATCCTTTGAAGTTGTTACAACAAGCAAACGGAAAAGACATTGTTAGGTGGGAGGGGGGAGAGGGAGGAGGGAGGGAGGTTTTGGTGATGGGCCACCACAATCAACCACACTGTATATCGACAAAATAAAAATTAAAAAAAAAAAAAGGAGATAAATGCTCATATATTTGCATTTAAGACTAGTATTGAACAATGTAAAGATAAAAGATATAATTCATGCCAATAAATTAAAATTTTAATTTTTCTTTAAAAAAAATAAAAAATAAAACTCAATTACTAATTCTAATAATTTATCTGCTGAGTGTTTTGAGTTCTAAATATACAATAATGATTATTTTTCCATTTCCTTCTTTTCTAACTCATATATCTTTGATTTATTTGTCTTCCCATATTTCCATGTCTAGTTCCTTCAGTACAGTGTGAATAAAAGTAGAGATAGCAACTATCTTGTTTCTCTGGTCTGAATACTTATGTTCACCCAAATTTTTATATTGAAAGCTAACCCCTAAGATGATGGTATTAAGAAGTAGGAGCTTTGGGGAGGTGATTAGGTCATGAGAGCTCCATGCTCATGAATGGGACTGGCTCCCTTATAAAAGAGGCCTGAAAGAGCTTGCTTGCCTCTTCCGCCATGTTACGACACAGCTAGAATGTGCCTCAGAGATGGAAGCATAGAAAAGCCTTCACTGGACGCTGAATCTGCTGGTTCTTTGACCTTGAGCTTCCCAGCCTCTACAATTGTGAGCAATAAATTTCTGTTCTTTATAAATTACCCAGTCTAAGGCATTTTGTTATAGCAGCCCAAATAGAGTAAGACAAAAATTAGTACAAAGAAGTGGGGTGTTGCCATAACGAATATTTAAAAATGTAGAAGCAGCTTTGGAACTGGGTAATGGATAGAGACCGGAAGAATTTGGAGGTGCATGCTAGAAAAGCCTACATTTCCATGAATAGAGCTTTAAGAGAGATTCTGGTGAGGGCTCGGAAGAAGGGGAGAACCATAGAAAAAGCCTTTGTCTTCTTAGAGACCACCTTAGAGGTAGAACAGAGTGTTGGTAGATATATGGATAATAGGGCTGCCTGGTTAGCACAGCTGGTTAGAGCATGTTGCAATAACACCAAGGTCAAGGGTCCATATTGGCAAGCCACCAAAAAAAACCAAACAAAAACCAAAAAACAACCCAAAGAGAAATATGGATGGTAAAGGCCATTCTGATGAGGTCTTAGATGAAAATGAGGAACATGTTAATGAAAAGTGGAGAAAAGGTGATCCTTGTTATAAAGTGACAAAGAAATTAGGTGAATCGTGTTCATGTCCTAGTTTTTTGTGAAAGGCAGAACTTCTGAGCAATGAAATAGGATATCCGGTGGGAGAAATATCTAAGCAAAGTGTCAAGGGTACAGCATAACTTCTCTCAACTGGTTATAGTAAAATGTGAGAAAAGATAAATTAAAAACAGAAATTATCATTAAAAGGGAAACAGAACTTAAAGATTTGGAAATTTCTCAACCTGGCCAGGCTGTAAAGAATGAAAAGTTTGTTCAAGAGAGAACACTAAGGGTGTGGCCAAGTAGTCATTTGTGTTGGATGAGATTAGCATGGATGGGCAGAAGCTAGATGTTATTCATCAAGACACTGGAAGAATGACCCCAAAGACATTTCAGATATCATCAGGTCTGCCAATCCCATCATAGGCCTAGAGTGTCAAGGCCTAGGGGTATCAAAAGAGAGGTGTCAGGTGCCCAAAGGACCGTGGCACTCACTGCCTGGTGCTACCTCAAGTCTCTGTTCCCCACATTCTGGTACAACACTCCTTGGCCATCCCGTGTGTGGCTCTAGTGGGCCCACGTGCAGTGTGTGTCACAATGGCTGCCCCTCAGGAGGGCACAGGTGGTAAAACTTGGCAGCGTCTGAGTGGTGCTATCTCCATCTTCCCACAGAGTGCATGAGCTTTGGGGGCATGGCTACCTTCCCCTAGGTTTCAAAGGAATGCCCAGAAAGCCTCGGGGTCCAGAGAAAGAACTGCCAGATACTTGTCTTGTTTTTATCTCTGAGATAAAGCTTGTAACATTTCACCATAATGTATGATATTTGCTGCAATGTGTCAGATTAAGAAAATTTCCTTCTCATTTTAGTTATTTAATAGTTTCTTTTAAAATCATGAATGGATGTTGAATTTTATCAGATACTTTTGTTTTTTGCATTCCTGATTTAATCATATGGTTTTCTGCTTTATTCTGTTAATGTTTTGAATATACTGATTCACTTAAACTGTTAAAAAAAACCCTTGCATTTCTGGTGCAAACCAACTTGATTACGTTACCATTTTTTACTGCTAGATTTATTCATATTTGCTTGGAATTTTTGCATCTATATTCATGCACGATATGGACTTATTCCCTTTTTGTAATAGACTTTTCAAGTTTTGGCAGAAACTATGTTGGCCTTATAAAATGAGATTAGTATGATTTCATCTTTCATAATTCTCAAGAAGATTTTGTGTAATATTTGTATTATTTATTTCTTAAGAACTTAGTGCAATTTACTCCAGTAGCCACTTGAGCTGTTATTTTGCAGGTTAAGCTCTCTGTGAGGCAGGTGTTCAAGTTGTCTTTGTCATGCAAGTGTAGGTTCTTCAGAGGCTGTTTAGTGACTGTCACCTTCACAGTTCCCTTACATGGGAAATGCGTTCTTCAACTGACGTAACAATCTTCAGCTCCTGAACCATTTGATGCATCTTCATAGCCTCTTAATTGTGATGTCCCTTTGCCTTTGATGGTCAATCTCTTGAGATGGGAAACCTGAAAATGGCTTGAGCTCAGCCATTTCCATGGTAACTATTTGGGCTAGAGAATAATCATGTATTCTTATCATATCAAATAATGGAACTATAGGCTGTCCCACAGTCCCTTCCTTCTCCATCAGCCATTGCTGCCAACTTTCCTACCAAAGAATTTTCTAGTCAAGAAGCAAGTGCACAATATCTATATCCACATACATCCTCTACACCCCACGCCTCCCACAGAAAAGTCCAGAAACACAAAAATAAGACTTTTGGGGGGGCTTCAAAAATTCTCTTGGAGCTTACCAGACTTAGCTTAGGGAGCACAGAAATAGAGTCAAATATATAAAGAAATGAGTTACTTGATAAAAGTTGATTCCAAATTAGTAGAGAAAAGACGAAGTATTCAGGAAATAGTACTGGCACAATTCTTAGTCATCAGGAAAAAATACAGTTTAATTCTTATTTCATACCTTGTACATAAATTCCAAATAGATTAAAGATTTAAAATATATATAAAAATAAGTATATTAGAGTGAACATAATAATTTTTTATTATCTTTAAGTGAGAAAGGGCTTTCTAAGTATGACCCAAAATCCAGAGCCATAAAAAAAGAGAATAAAAAAACAGAATTACATTAAAAACTTTAAAAAAGTTATGCATGGGAAAAATTACCCTAAACAAAGTCATAAATCAAACAAGAGCAGGTTAAATATTTGCAAGTTATATCACAGAGAAAGCTAACTTCCCTAATATGTAAACAGTTTTCACAAATCTCTAAGAGAAAGGCCAACAACTCTACAGAAAAATGGACAAAAAAATAGCGACTAATGTCACAGTATAGGAAAAGCTGTTCAATTTCACTTAAGATGTAAGAAAAGTCTAGTAATATTATAATGACATACTTTTTTTTACTTTAATTGACAGAGAACAAACATTTGGTTACACACTGTTGTTAGATAGGTCTGGGAGACCAGGCATTCTCAAACATTGCTAGTGGGAGTATAGTTTGGCACAATCTCTATGGAGGGCTACAACCTAGGAATACGGATTAATTGGAATTAAATTAGACTTGAAAGTCCAACTTTCAAATATCTGATGTCTGTTGGATTATGTTGATCTGAGCCTTCTATAGTCTCTTAACCTAGACTGTCAGAAGAAACATAAATACTTTTTGGAGGAAGATAACATCATTCAGAACCTCAAATAATAATATTCATGCCTCAATTTAAAACAAGTGAACAAAAAACAAACCAACAAACTGACATACACAAACACAATGTAATGTGACCAAAAACCAAGACAAGTAATAGACTAGATACCAAATATGAAGGTATCAAACACATAAAGTAGTTATATTCAATATGTTCAAGTAAATGAAAGATGAGAGTCTTTCAAGAAGAGAACAGGAATCTTTAAAAGTACCAAATGGAAGGTCTAGAGCTGAAAAATAAATAAATGAAATTGAACTCCATGGGTGGGTCTACCATCAGATTAGATACAGCTGAAGAGGGAATTAGTGAATTCTAAAAAACAAGTCAAAAGTATCTAAAATGAAAAACAAGGAGAAAGGGATAGAGAATACAAAAACAAACAAAAAAGTATAAGTGTAATAACATCCTAACAACCTCCTAATAACATCAAAAGTAGGAACTCTATCACGAATTTGACATAAAGAACACATAACTACAGTTTAAGTTTAAATTATTATTTTTCTTACACTATGTTCAATCTAATAAAAATCCAGGTAAGGGCTCCTTTCCACTCTTAGGATTTCACTTAAGCATTTTTAAAAAAATCTAAAAATGTCAAACACATTAGTTGAATAAAACAAAGCAGAAAGAAAGCTTAATTACTTACATTCCATATGCTGAGCTTACAGCAAGACTAGTAATCTGCTGGGGAGGTTCACCATCTACCCATACCAACTGAATAACAAGTTCTGCTTGATACCCAGGAGGCATCCGCACTGGTCGTGTCTTAACGCTAGAAGAAAGAGAAAAATAATTCTATCACATACAGTTTAAATAAGCATGCTCATGCTTCTCTTGAGAATTTACCTAGAATCGTCTTACAGAAATATAGCTTTCTCAAAATATATTCAGCTACTATGAGTGCTTAGTTATTTCTTTAAGTAGCTTTTTAGTGAGGTCCACAACTTGAACCACTTCTTTTTTTGTTTTGAAGACAGTACTTAAACTTATTTTTATTGTGTAATTATTTCTCTTATGAAATTTTTGTTACACATAACAAGAAAGAATAACCTATTACCTGACTTAAGAGTTCAACATATCCAATACCTGAATTCCTACTCTTACCCACTAAACCTGCTCCACCTGTAGCCTTCTCTACTGTAGTTGATAGCAACTCCTATTCATCCAGTTATTCAGTTTAAAAAAAACCTTAACGTCATCCTTGACTAATATACTTCTGCCATACTTCATATCCAACCAATTATCAAATGCTACTGATACTACCTTCAAAATACATCCAGAACCTGACTACTTTTACCTTTTGTATTACTACTACTCTAGTTACAGCTGCCAAATAAAAATACAGGACATCCATTAAAATTTAAATAAACAATAAATAGGGGAATTTTTTAGTATAAATATGTCCAATGCAATGTTTGGGATATACTGATACTAAAAAATATTCATTGTTTATCTGAAATTCAAATTTAAATGGGTATCCTATATTTTGTTTGCTGTATCTGGCAGCCCTTAACTGCATCTGTAATTTGTTTACTGCAGTAGCCTTCTAACTGGTCTCCCAGCTTCTACCCATCCCTTCCATCCCCAAATCCATTTTTAACACAGCCACTGGAGTGATTTATTTAAAATTTAAGTCTGATCTTGTCACTACTCCATTCAAAACCCTATAATGACTCCCTTTTCCTCACTGGAATAAAAGACAAGGTCCTAACAATGGCCTACAATTGGCCCTCTATTGCCTGTTTGACTTCATCTCCTACTACCCACCCTGTCCTCCTTCCCTTTGCTCTAGCTATACTGACCTAGTTACTATTCCTTAAACTTGCCAAGCAGTTTAAGGCCTTTGCTCCAGCTGTTCCTTCTTCCTGAAACATTCTTCCACCAAATATTCTTTGCCTGATTACCTCACCTACTTCAAATTTTGTTTAAATCTTGTCCTCTTAATGAGGCCTATGATGACCACCAATTTTACACTCTAGGAAGCACAAAGGAAAAAAAAAAAAATCAAACACTTGCGCAAAAACTTGTGTATATTGATAAAGATTGTAGTATTGCTAAAAATGAAGAGCTGGCTAGTTGAAATGCTTATTTATCAGGTAAAGGTGTATATGGGAGTATATATTCAGTAAAGGAAAGTGTCTTAGGGATGGATGCCAACACGTAATTTAGCAAAGCATGGATCATATGCAGCTCAAGAACCACTCAGAACGTAATTCACAGAATAATATACGTAGATCAGTTTTACTGCTTTATTACTAGGCACTATTCACATAACATAGAATTATACTGATTTTTTCCTTTTGGTTCTCCTAATTATCCTCAAGATTGTCTTCACTACTTTTCAAGTCACCGTTAAACACTTCTATTACTCTTCAACAATTGTTACTGCTTACTTTTTCTCTACTTCCAGATCTTTGCTGATTTCACTGTTTTTTTTTTTTTTTTCTCTCATCCCTATCCTTAAAATTTTTTAAATTTTATTGAAAAATATTTAGGTCATTAGAAGACTCACACTTTAATGATGTATTTTCTTAGTTAATACACAAATCAATCTACAGTGCTTTCTTAAACTTTGTTGAATGTTTTGTTCTCTTTTTGGTTTTCGTTTTAATAGAAATCAATTAAATAAAGCAAAACGATAGGAATGAAAAATTATACATGTGAAAATATAACATTATGAAAGTTTTCCATTAGCTAAAATTTTATGGTGTTTCTTCTTTGTAGATTTTCCTCCCAGTAATACCTGCTCATATTTCCTTTGTTTTACTTCACAAGAAAAGTTTTGGGAGGAAAATCAATGATCACAAAAGTATAGCAACTGCTAATTGTATAGATTGTGTTCCTAAAACTTTATCTCTAAATTTTCCATAAGTGTTTTCATAAGACATGAGGAAACTAGTTGTCTAAAGTACCTCAAGTAGCAGATGTAGATATCTGCATATGAAGCTCAAAGAAATGCCCCACTTGGGCTTAATTCTCCAATCAGTTAACACTAGAAACATTTGGTTTGATGGTGTAGAAGCAGTCAGTAATTTATACCCTATTGCTAAAAAGCATAAAAACAATGAAGATAAATATTATTAAGGGCTTTTTAAACTTTAGGTTTTATTTGATTATGATGCTAAACTTTGTTCAGATATATTCAGAGAACATAGTTTCTTAACAAATAACAACAGTTAGGAAAAAAGAGAAACATTATGCAATATACTAGCAATATGACAGAAATCCTTTTCTCTAATATACTACTCTTCTAGTACATAGTAAATTTGATTTTCTTTTGATTCTAAGAAGGCTGAAGAAATTCATAATTTTTCTGTTGGAAACTACAAAGCAAGTGGCCAAACTTCCTGTTCTATCAAAGCCATGTTTTCTTTAGAGTCCTTATGGGAAGGAAATATATAAAAAAGTAAACAAAGGATAAAAATATTGTGCCCTCTTCATTAATGTTCAAAGAAAAGAGCAGGGCACCCCTTGGTGGATTATAGATCACTTGAGAACAACTTTTTTTTTTTTTTTTTTTTTTTTTGTCTTTTTTCCGTGTCCGGCAACGGATCGCAACCCTCAGTGTTGCCCCCGTACCGGACCGGGGACCGGCAACGGGATCGCAAGCCTCGGTGTTGCTCCCGCGCCTCGCTCAGCCAGTGAGCGGGAGCCGGTCTGTATGTGGGATCCGAACCCTCGGACGGGAGCGCCGCCGCGCTTCCCAAGCGGCACACCATCCAGTGCGCCACCGGGCCGGCCCCAGAGAACAACTTAATAAGAGACAAGAATCATTTTATTTGTCACAGTTTCAAGGAATTACATGACTAATATGTAAAATTGTTTTAAAATTTGGTAGCAACGCTTACTTGAGGCATGGGATACTGTCCTTTGTTACTCCTTCACTAGCCACAGTGTTAGTGCTCCCGGAAAGACTCCTTGAAGGAAGCTGGGATGAAAGATCTGGAAACGGAGGGCTTGTTTCTGGTTCAGGGGTAATAATATCTTCAACATCATACTGAAGTCGTACGTCCAATGACTTAAAAAAATCAAGTTTTAATTTGATAAAAGTCACAATAAAAAAATCACATTTAAATATCTGTTAGCCTTTCAGTAATTACTCGGAATATTTTCAGATTATTACATGTAATATTCAATGGCAATCATAATAATGTAATTTTGAGAAATACTTCAAAATTATAATAAAAATAACTACCAGTGGAGAAAAAGTTTTCATATAATAAATATTCTTTAAAATGAAGTATAAATTACAATTTGATGTATTACAAAATAAAAGGAGAAACTGGTCATGGTTATTCCAGTGAAAGAAATTAAACTGGATGTATGTGTGTATGTGTGCATGTGCACATGGGCGTGCATGCATATGTATCTGGAAGAAATCATTATTTGTACAAAGATTTTTAATTAAAAAAAATTTCATAACATTTTGATGTTGCATTAATTCAGTTAAGATTTCCAAAAGAAATTCCATAGTTTTAGCTGTTTGTTTCATTATCATAGCTCTTATTTGTTTAAGTTCATTAGCTTTCATCAGAATTACTTAATAAAAAACATGATAATTTATATAGTAATAAAAAGGTAATCCTAAAAATGTTTTAAAATTTATGACTGCAGTAAATGCTTTAATTAAATTGATTTTATAACAAATTGTTGCTTTACAATAAAAACGAGCATTTTTGAGGTTGAAAAAAATTGACAAAAAGTGTCATTATGGGGTGGTGAATGTAGCAATATTACCAAAATGATTGTCCTAATCACCTTTAACCTACAAAAAAGCCTCCACTACACTTAGACACTATGCTAACATCTCTATACAACCATTGCAAAAATCCTATAAAGTTGGTATTAGTATTTCCAGTTTATTTTTCTTTTCTGTTTTTCCATTTTACTACACAGGAAATTATATAGATCATGAAATTGAATCTGACCCAGATTCTACTACTGACTAGTAGCCTTGTGACTTGCAAAGAGTCAGAGGTATTCAATGATAAAGCCAGAATTAAAAACCTATATTTATCCTACTTCAAAGCCTAGGCTTTTTTTTTTTTTTTTGTGACTGGTAAGGGGAACATAACCCTCGGCTTGGTGTCGCCCGCACCAAGCTCAGCCAGTGAGTGCACCAGCCATCCCTATATAGGATCCGAACCCGCGGCCTTGGCGCTCCCAGCACTGCTGGGCTCCCAGCGCCACACTCTCCCGAGTGAGCCACAGGGCCAGCCCCAAAGCCTAGGCTTTTAACTAATATACTATAAAAGGGTGTTATTAATGTTAGCTGTTGTGGTAAAAACACTTATACACAGGTCAATAGTAAACAGTCTTCAATTTCTGGTAAAATGGTAAAATGGCAAGGTAGGAAGAAGGACAATTATCTACAGGTGCCTTAATTTAGATTTAATTTATCCCTTAGAGCATTATTACTTTAAACAATCAAAGCATTTCATTAGTTTAAAAATCAGGATTAGTGAAGGCAGTCCCATGATTTTGTCTACCTTACGAAAAAAAATGTTGCTATGTTGCTATATATTGAAGTTGAAAAAAATCATTTGTAGCAATTAGTTGACAAGAAAACACAAATCAGATTAACTTTTAAAAAACTAATAAGTGTAGAACAAAGCCTGCATTAATTTGACTTTTGCACATAAAATAAATCAATAGCTTTCTGCCTAAAACCTATACATTTTATAGGAATACACACAGGCATACATAGATATACATTCTACAAGGCATACATATTTCAAAACATCGCTATACATATAAATATACATAATTTTTATTTTTCAGTAAAAGCAAATAAAAAAACTAATGCTAAAGTTTTAATATTGGCAATTAACAGACAGAAGGAATTGGCTTGTTTGACCAAATAGATGCAACTTGTGTAATATATAAGTAAAAAATAAGAAAAATATGACATGCCTAATTTGTAGCAAGATTAACTTAAAATACTAAACTCATTTTGATATTGAAAAAAATACCAAATTTTGATAGAGAATTTTTTGTCATTTTAAAACAAACCATTTTAAAAATGTCATATTAAGTAACAATAGCCATTAAAAATTGTATGAATTGCATTACTGGCCACATATAGCACTCTTTATGGCTTAAAACCATACCAAGTACAGCCCAAATCTATGCTGATTGCTTTTTTAAAAAAACTGTAAGTGTGAAAGATAAATTTTAAATAACTTACCACTATTTCTGTGGTAATTTCATGTCTGCTGAATTTATAAATTATTACATATGCAGAGACTCCTGATACACAGAATATTCTGCTCTCTGGACACCAGTAAATCATCTGAATGGCAAATGGGTCTTCCTCTACAATTTCACATGTTTGTTTTCCTTCTCCTGTCTTCTGTTTTTCAAATACTTTTGAAGTTTTTAGCTTGTACAGCATCTGCAGAGTTACTATAAGATATTGAAGCATAGTTATCTTCTAATTTGAACTTAATTCTTAGATGTTATTAAAGCTTTTTCAATATATTTGTTAAACTAAAAAATTAAAACGTAAGTAGACAAAATGAATTACATTTTAATTAGTAAGCATTCAGTGTCATGCTATCATATCAGTACTGTAGCTGGAGAAAGACTATAGGGGAAAAATAAACAGCTATTAAACATATACTGTATACCAAAAAATATATGGGTGCTTTCCCATGTGATATTCAGAAAAGTCCCATGAAGTAGGTATTTTTATCCTTATTTATTGATGAAAACACTGGGGCTCAGAAAGTTTATAATGGAAATACTGAGCATAATTCTCCCCTAGGGGAGACCCCTCAATCCTTTTTCACAATTTTTCTCTTTGATTGCTAAATGAGAGGTTGATGCTATTCCCAGAGGGTTTACTCCTCTCAAACTTTTAAACATTCCTTCAGATGAGAAACTTTGCAATTTACGAGCTAGCAATATTCAAAGAATCTGTAATTATTGTAGAATTTCTGAGTGGCTCTGTGACAATAAAAGGTCAGATCTAATCTCATAATACTTTGGGTTTGTAAACAGTTTCCAAGAATATTTATTTAGAGGAATATTTTTCCATTTGAGACCAAGAAACAATAATTCCCCCATAAAAAAGCTCTGATTCTACAAAGTATCCTTGAGAAAAGTTTAAAAAAATCAAGCATTCCTGCCAAAAGTGCAAACTCTGAATCTAATCATAAGAAACGTTAGTCAAACCCAAATTGGAGGAGATTCTACAAAAAAACTGACCTGAACTCCTCAAAAATTTCAATGTCATGATATAAAGACTCAGAAACTGTTTTAGATTTTTAACTCGAAAGATATAACTAAATGCAACAAATGATCCTAGATTTTCTTTTGTTGTGAAGAAAATGTAACTAGGACAATAGAAAAGCTCAATAAGATGTGGAGATTAGATAGTAGTGTTATATTATTGTTAATCTGGTTTTGACAACTGCACTTTGGTTATGTAAGGGAATGCCCTTGTTTGCAGGAAATACACACTGCAGTATTTAGAGGTATGTAATGTCAGAGGAGCATAGTGTCTACAACTTCCTCCCAAATGGTTACAGAAAAGCTATATGCATATATGTACATTAAAAAATATATATGTACATGTGTGAGAGAAAATACATGAAGGGTAAAGAGACAGAAGGTTGGTGGGGGGGAACAAATGTAGTATACATTGACAACTGGGGAATTTGGCTGGAAGCTATACATTTCACAGTACTTTTTTTGCAGTTTTTCTGTGAGCCTGAAATTATATCAAAGCAGAATTATTTTTTAAATGGGCAAGGCATTGTATTAGATGCTATAGCCTGGCTTCTGAGGTCAGATGGAATATCACTCCCATGATTATTTTACATTACATGAAAATAGTAAAAGTATATTGCAGACATAATTAACGCTCCTAATTAGTTAACTTTGAGTAAATCAACAGAGAGATTATTCTTAATGGCCCTGATCTAATCAGGTGAGCCCTTTAAAAGAGGCACTGGGGCCTTCCCTGAAGGTAGGGAGACTCTTGCTGGCCTTGAAGCAGCAAGCTACCATGAGTTATAAATGTGCAATAAAACGAAGTCTGCCAATAACCAAATTAGCAGGGAAGAGGAACTTGAGCCTCAGATGAAACTACAGCTGCCATCAATACCCTGACTAAAGTCTTATGAGACCCTGGGCAAAGGACGCAGCAAAGGTGTAGTGTAATCAGATTCCTGACAAACAGGAGTTGTGAGATAATAAATAGGTGCTGTTTTAAGCTGTTAAATTGTGGTAATTTATTCTCAGCAATAGAAAACTAATACACATCATAACATAAACTCAATTATACAAACTCACCTCACTTCCTGTATTAGACAGTTTCACAAAATTTGCACCCTAAGTGATATTACTTTGCTGGTATCCATTAAGTTGGAGATATACCCTTATAATCAATTGCAGTAAAAATATTAAACATGTTGCTATCCTTTGCAATTATATTCTGAATGTGATAAAATAATATTTTATCTGAAATTTAACTTTAAAAAATATTATTATGCGCACTTAAGTGTGGTATGCACTCTAAAATGAGTGATGAAGTGTCCTCTCACATTTTAGAAGTTAAGGAGTGATTGAGGTGGTGGGAAAGGAGCCATGACATCACCATATGACTAATTTTGTTCCAGGAACAAACTCAGATTTACATGAAAAGATTACCAAAAGAAAATCTGTTGCCCTTTGGAGTTTCCTTTTAAGCACCTGTTCTTTACTGTGTGAGGTTAGAAAGGGTCCTCAGAATCCACAGCTTTAAATTTTTTAATCTTTTTCTCTTGTTGATGGTTTGCTTGATTGCTGAAGGACTCTACCTTGTTGGCTAAGAGTATCACCAATATTCAACCTTCTTCCTCTGCTTTTCTGTTTATTACAGTCTTCCTCAGAAGCTATTCACTTCTATAGCTTTAAATATCACTTTTATGGGGCTTCTTCATTAGTTTCCATTCCTGACTGTTCTCCCTACTTGCTCGACATTTTTACTTGGATTTTCTGATGTTATTACAAAATTTATACCTCCAAAGCTTTCTTGTAATACTTACTTCCAAAAGAGTTACCTACATCTTCCTGGTTATTCATCCTTAGAAACTTAGAGTCATTGCTAATTTGTTTTTCTCTTCATATTCCTGACTATCAAAATCTTAACTATCTTCTAAAACTCACATTAAATGTTATCTATCAAAATTCCCTTTCTGGATCTACCTAGTCCTAATAAATCTCTCCCATTTATGATAACAAATAGAATTTGGGGTACTGCATCTAAAGTTCTTATCATATTATTTGCCCTGCAGTTATATATGTGCATCCTTTATCTTTTCTAGTGACCATAGTCTTCTGAAGGGTATACATGGGTATAAAGAAGTCTTAAGTATCTTTGCATGTCCTTCAGTGCTGAGCAGAATACCTTATTTATTTCTTAAATCACATAATTCTCAAGAATTTAAGAGAATTTTTACATTTATCAAATCATTCCTTTTGATCTTCACAGGACTTGGTAGATGAGTGGGGAATAAAAATGAAGATGAGAGGGATAAGAGCACACACACGTCCAAGACCACACAGCTAGGCAGTGAAAGAAATTCCTTGAATAGAGTTAATCTAACAAAGTTTTAGTACTTTTATTTTTCCATTATATAAAGATATAATGAAAATCTGACGGAATGACTTAGTTCTGTTTGTTTGATATTATAGGAGAAAAGTACAGTAGAGATAATACTTTAAACAGATCTAACAATATAGGAAATGGATTTTTGTAATATAGCCATATGTGTATGCTAAAAATACATATGAAATGTTAATTGCCCAAACTAAAAAGTGATGAATGGCTATGAGTAAATATTAACCAAGTGTTTACTGTTATATAGGGAGAAACTTAAAACTTACTTGCAGAAGCATCCCAAAATTTTACTGATCCATCTGCATGACTAGATGAGAAATAAATCAGCATTAATTAAAGTACACTAAATAAAAAATCATAATTACCCCAAATGTACAAAAACTTGAGTTGCTGTTGTTAAAATTTTGATTCAGAAATATCGTTCTAATGAAAATTAATGTATAATAAACCATTTATAAGCTCAAAACAATGGTTTATTTTTTAAACAATATGCTAATGTAAAAAGATTAGAAAAGAACAACTCTTTAGATTTTACTGTAATAAGATTTTAAGTGTAATAGAGCACAAATGAAAAATGGCCTGTGAAAATGAACAATGTATTTTTATGTAAAATTGTTTATGCTCAAAAAAGATAACAGATAATTTTGATATTAAGATAAATATGAAATGAATGTCACAGTACAATTAAAATTAAGTTTCATAATATAAAAGCAAATCTCTAAACCTAAGTCATTATTTGGCAACAAATAATCTAATGTCAATTCTATAAAAACCCCTCTAGAAAATAGAAGAGGATATAATACTTCCCAACATATTTGATGAGATCAACATTATCCTGACATCAAAACCAGAAAAAAACATTGCAAGAAAAGAAAATTACAAACTAGCACCCCTCATGAGCATAGGCATACAAATTGTGAACAGAATATTAACAAATCAAATCAAGCAATAGATAAAAGGATAATACATCATAATTAAGTGGATTTATCTCAGGAATGCGAGGCCTGTTAAACAGTAAAAAAATCAATCACCATACTGTAATTCACTATACTGACAGATTAAAGAAGAAAAGGCATATGGTCATCTTAATAGATGTGCAAAAATCATTTGACAAAAATTTACCACCCATTCATCAAAAAAAACTATCAATAAACTAGAAACTGAAGAAACTTCTACAGCCTGATAAAGGGCATCTATGAACAACCTACAGATATTGCCTAACATACACAATGGTGAAAGACAATGCTTTTTCCCCCTAAGATCAGGAACAAAGCAAAGAATGTTCACTCATACCATTCTTATTCAATATCAGTTGGAAGTGTGAACCACTGCAATAAGGGAAGAAAAAAGAAATAAAAGGCATACAGACTGAAAGAGGAAGAAACAAAAGTCTATTTGCAGATCACATGAATGGCCATGTAGAAAATCCCAAAGACTCTACAAAGAGGATACTAGAACTCATAAATGAGTTTAGCACAATTGTAAGATACAATGTCAATGTAGAAAAAAAATCAATTGTATTCCTATATAAGAGCAATAAAAATTGACACTATAAAACAGTACCATTTATAACAGTACCAAAAAACATGAAATACTTTTATGTAAACTAACACACTTTGTGCTTGATCATATGGTGAAAATTATAAGGTGCTGATCAAAAAAATAAAAGAAGACATTAACAAAAGGAGAGAGATAGTATCTTCCTGAAAATTGTAAGACTTATTAAATGATGGTTCTCCCAAAATTATGCGTAGATTCAATGTAAAATCAATTAGAATGTGCTAAAAAATTTGTAGAAATAAACTGATTCAAAAATTATATAGAAAGGTAAAGGAACTAGGATTGCTAAAGCAATTTTGAAAAACAGAAACAAAGTTGGAGGACTCAAACTACCTAATGTTAAGTTTCACTCTAAAGCTACAGGATAATTATTGTGCTACTGGTGAACAATGGACACATATTTCAATGGAACATAGTAGAGAGTTCAGAAATAGACTCACACATACATGGTCAACTGATTTTTTTTGAGAGGGGGGTAGTCACTGATCGAGTAATCTACTTGATTTTGTTAATAGCTTTACTGATGCATAATTTATATTTACAATGCTGTACCTCTATTAAGCTCCAAAACATTTTCATCACTCTGAGAGGAAACTCCATATCCATTAAGCATCACACCCTATACTCTCCTCTCCCACCCTTGGCCACCACTAATCTATTTACTGTCTTTAATAATTTGCCAATTCTGAATATTTCATATAAGTGGAATCATATATGTGGCCTTTTGAATCTGGTTTCTTTTACGAGGCATAATGTTTTCAAAGTTCATCCATACTGTAGCATGTATCAGAAGTTCATTCCTTTTTATAGCAAAATAATACTCAACGCATAGATATAAATTTTTAAAAATCCATTCATCAGTTGATGGGCATTTAAATTGTTTCTACCTTTTGACTATTGATAATAGTGCTGCTATGAACATTCATGTACTAGTTTTGTTTAAACACCTACTTTCAACTATTTGGGATATATACCTAGGAGTGGAATTGCTGGATCATGTGATAATTCTGTTTAACTTTTTGAGAAACTGCCAAACTATTTTCCACAGCAGCTGCACCATTTTATTTTATTTTATTTTTTTGTCTTTTTCCGTGTCCGGCAATGGATCGCAACCCTCAGTGTCGCCCCCGTACCGGACCGGGACCGGCAACGGGATCACAGCCCTCGGTGTTGCTCCCGCGCCTTGCTCAGCCAGTGAGCGGGAACCGGTCTGTATGTGGGATCCGAACCCTCGGCGGGAGCGCCGCCGCGCTTCCCAAGCGGCGCACTATGGCAGTGCACCACCGGTTCGGCCCAGCTGCACCATTTTAAATTACCACCAAGAATGTATGAGGTTTCCGACTTCTCTACAACCTCACCAACACTTGTTATTTTCTATTTTTAAAAGAATTATAGCTACCGTAATGAGTATGAATTAGTATATATCATTGTGGTTTTGATTTGCATTTCTCTAATAACTAATGATATTGAGCACCTTTTCATGTGCTTGTCAGTAATTTGCATATCTTTTTTTGAAACACGTCTATATGAGTCCTTTGCCTATTTCTAAAAATTGGGAAGTTTGTCTTTTTGTTGTTGAGCTCTTAGAGTTCTTTATATATTCTGGATACTAAACTCCTAGCAGATATATGATTTGAAATCTTTTCTCTCATTAAGAGTTATCTTTTCACCTGATGATGAAGACCAATTTATCTATGTTTTTCTTTTGTTGCTTCTGATTTTGGAGTAATATCCAAGAAACCACTGCCAAAATCAAGGTCATGAAAGTTTACCACTTTGTTTTCTTCTTTTAGTTTTATAGTTTTAACTGTAAATTTAGGTTTTTGATCCAATTTGAGTTAATTTTGTACATGGTATGAGGCAGGGGTCCATATTTGTTTTTTGGTATGTGAATATCCTGTTCCCCTAGCACCATTTGTTGAAAAGATTGCTCTTTCCCCTCATCGAATGGCCTTTGTGTTCTTGTTGAAAATCAATTAGCCCTGAATGTATAGTTTTATTTCTGGACTACTAATTCTATTCCATTGCATTATATTTCTAACCTTATGTCAGTACTATATTGTTTTGATTACTATAGCTGTTTAGAAAGTTTTTCAATTTGGAAGTGTAGGTCCTCCAACTTTCCTCTTTTTCAAGATTATTTTGACCATTCAGGGTTCCTTGAAATTTTATGTGACTATTAAGCTAAGCTTTCCCATTCTGGAAAAAAAAAAGCCATTGGAATTTTGATAGGAATTGTAGTGAACATGTAGATTGCTTTGGGGATATTACCATTCTAACAATATTAAATCTTTCAGTTTGTACATTCCATTTATTTATGCCTTATTTAATTTCTTTCAGCAGTGCTTTTGTAGTTTCTAGTGTACAAGTCTTGTTTTCTTGGCTAAATTTATTCCTAAGTATTTTATTTATTTTATGCTACTCTAAATGGAATTGTTTTCTTAATTTCCTTCGTGGATTGTTCATTATTAGTGTTTAGAAACCTAACTGATTTTGTGTCAATCTTATAACCCACAACTTTGCAGACTTCATTTCTTAGCTCCAAATTGTTTTTTTGTGGATTCTTTATGATTTTTTTATATAAGATTATGTAATATGCAAATAGAGATAGTTTTACTTCTTTTCCATTGTGGATGCCTTTTATTTTTTCTTCTCACCTCACTCCTCTGGCTAGAATTCCCAATACAATATGAAATAGAAATAGAAAAATCAGGCATCCTTGTTTTGTTCCTGACCTCATGGGGAAAGCTTTCAATCTTTCTCCATTGAATACGATGTTAGCTGTGGGTTATGCAAAAGTGCCTTTTACCAGATTAAGGATGTTCCATTCTACTCCTAGTTTTCTGTGTGTTTTTGTTGTTGTTTTGAATCATGAAAGGGTATTCAGTTTTGTCAAATGCTTTCTGCATAAATTGAGATGATTATGTGTTTTTTCCCCTTCATTGTATTAATGTGGGTATTACATTGATCGACTTCCATAGGTCAAAATATTCTTGCATTCCTAGGTAAATCCCATGTGAACATGGTTTATTGTCCTTTCCACATACACAATAATGTTGTTTCTGAATAACAACAGTTTTATATCTTTCTTTCCAATTTTTATATTTTTACTCCCATTTTTTACCCTACTGAACTATCTAGGTATACAAGTTTAATGTTAAATACCATGAGTAACAATAGACATCCCTGTCTCATTCTCTATATAGGGGGCAAAACTTCAAATATTTCACCAAATAAGTACAACGTTTTCTGGTTTTTTTGTTTGTTTGTTTTTTGTAATAGAAACCCCTTTTTAGACTACAGAATTTCTCTTCTATCCTTGGCTTGCTAGGAGATTACTTAAAAATCATGAATAGATGCTTAATTTTAAGATTTTTCAAATTTACTTAATGTGTCAAATTTACTTAAAATCAATTTTTTGAACAATAGACCAGCATTGCATTCCTTCAATAAAGTCAACTTAGTTCTGTGATATTATTCTTTTTATTTATCACTGAGTTCTATTGCCTAACATTTTATTTAGGATTTTGCATCTATATTCGTGAAAAAGACTGCCTACGGGCTGGCCCGGTGGCGCACTGGAGAGTGCGCCGCTTGGGAGTGTGGCGGTGCTCCCGCTGAGGGTTCGGATCCCATGTGGAGACCGGTCCCCGCTCACTGGCTGAGCGAGGTGTGGGCGCAACACCGAGGGTTGCAATCCCGTTGCCGGTCCCCAGTACGGGTGTGACACAGAGGGTTGCGATCCCA